GCATTTCTGTGCAGCGAATAGTCCAAACACAAGGACTGGTGCATTTCTGTGCAGCGAATAGTATCTCTCATACTTTCAGTCCAGCATGCCTGGGGTGAAACACCAACATGAGGAATAGTTGCACAGATAAAAATAACTTCAAAGAGATATGAGARGATGAATCCGCTGCTTTGTATTCATTCTGTGACTTCAGGAGTCAGAAAACCTGAGTTCAGAGACAGGTTTAGATATGGAGTTCTTAGCAAACATTTTGCCCAGCAGGCTTCTAATACCCAAGAACAGATACGCTATATTTTGGTGCATGTCTTGCTGTGGAGGAAATAAAGATGTTTCTCCTTTTCTTTAATCTGGATCTTGCTTTTTATTTTTCAGCTTATACCTTCTAATCTGAGTCTGCATACCACATGGTTTTCCAGAAAATAGGAAGTTCTATGTTTCACATAATKTTGTCTACATTCCAGCCTGAATTAATTATCATTGTTAATTTAGAAAGTATAAGCAGTTTTACAAYTCATTGGCATGCAGACTACTTTATAACAGTAGTGTTATTACTTTTTTAAAAAATGAGTTCTGAATTCTTATGCTGGTTAAATACTTACTGCTTGTGGAAATGTAAAATATAYATCAGGCAAACACATAGAAGAGACAGATCCATGGTATGGCCAGGGGTAAAAAAGAACATAAAATGTGCCTCAGGATTTCAATGTTGTCTAGGTCTAATGAGAAATCTATACTGGTTTTCTRCATGAAATGGTCTTCTTAAGGCTCACATTTCCAGACATTTTCCATGCAGCTCACCCAGCCCAGCTGTTCTTCATCACTAGCTATCACTAGAATATTTCAAACAACAGCAGCTTGTGTTTCTCCCCATAAAAAATATGAACAGAACAAAGGATCAGTTATGTCATGCATTCAGATCTAAAATAAATACAATTMAATATTTTAAGAGCAAAGAGAAAAAGAGTGGAATGACCATATAATTTTCAAAAACAAATCAAGAAACTAACTTTCACCACACACAAAAACCAAGTCTAGCAACAATGAATACTGGAAACACCTGCTCCCTGAAACTTTAGGTCCTGATTTTGCTTCAGGTCCACATTTTGAGGGTAGAAAATAATGATTGCCTTTTTATACAAAGGTTCTCTATGGCAAAGATTTTCTGAAGTTGTTTTAACCCATGTACAAACCTGCAGCAGAGAAAATCACCTGAATAGCCAAAGCAGACGTGCCTACTCTCGAAAGTCCTGATGAGCATWTAGCTCAAGCTGAGTTTCATAAACCTGCTAAAAACCTTCAGATGGTCATATGCAGTTCACAGAACATAATCAGCTCAAGATGARGTGTCCTACTATGAATGACAGCTGCTTTTTTCAAACTTGCTTTCACCTTTGAGATACACTATGATATAATCCCAGATAGATTGCACTGCAGATGTCTGAAAAAAATACCAGAAGCACGGATTATTGTAGCATCTGTATCCAGTGAGAGAAATTGAAACATCTAAGTCAGAAGCACACAGGAAACAGCTGCCAGCCGGAGCTTGGAGGCTGGCTGGGGAGCAAATGTGTACCATGCAAGGTATACACATGMTTTCAATCAAAATGATAGATACAATTTGCATCACAGCTTCAGAAGATTGACCAGAGCCTTCCAATTCCTTCCTCCTTTTTCAGGGTGGGGGTCAGGGAGCACATGGGATGAAATTTCATAATGCTACAATTCAAATAAAAAAGGCTTCAGATGCAAAGCTGCTGATTATAATCTTGGCTGYTCATATTGATATTCACTTGGGAGTTGTTATTCCAGATGCTGTTAACYCAGCTATAAAGACAACAACCTTCCAACACAATCAAATGCCTTTTCTGATGTCACCTGAAATAAGTCACCATATCACCAAATTCTTGTCCTGGAAAATCTCTATGTAAAATATGGTTTCAAAGAACTTGTTCTGTACAAAGCATAAATAGCATTGCTCTTTCTGAGTGAGTGCAATGAGACAGTGTATGGAAAATAAAGATGAATTCTAGATTTCAACAGTAGTCTCTTATCTAACATTTATTTCAAGAAACTACGTAACAAGTCCTGTAACAAATAAGTAAGTGGGATATTCCTGGATATTTCCCATAGAGAAAAACTGCTTTTCCTTTTAACAGAAAGAGAAGTATTTCTGTTACRGATGGAATATGAAGGAGATAAGTTCAGGAGATGCAAACATGGATGACTGATTTATGAAAGTCTGCAAAGATGTCATGAGAACACTGGCTATCAAATTTGCAGCAGACAGATTATAGAAGAGTAAAGCACTAGCACAGTCTGTCACTGTGGTAATAACAGGTGATTCCAGCTGGGCAGCTCCAGACTGGCCCTGGGCAATGAAGGGCATGAACGCCATGGGGTGCAGGCAGCACAAACAGCAGGGCAGAWGGAGCCATTCTGAACCTTTCTGCTCCAAGGAAGGGCAGGAGTCAAGTCTGATTCTGGTTTACTCACGTTACTGTAGCACCAGCAGGCTCAGCTGTAGGYCAGGTCCTGCTGTGCTCTGTGCTGTACATGCAGAACAAAATGACAGACTCCTATTAAGAAAAATTTCCTTTTTATTATTTTTATTTGCAATAGCAAATAACCAAGTCCATGCTGTAAATAACAGAAGAAATCTAACAGTTCTAGGACGGGTACCAAAACCGCTGCAAGTCTAAAAAGCAGTAATTACACAGGGCACTTTTAACAATAGACCCACACAACCTGTAATCTGCATGCAGAAGAGGGTGGTAGCCATTCTCTACTTCTCAACAGGGGGTTAACAGTGAAGACAAAGCTGTACTGAAACTTCACACCACCCATATTTCCTTACTTTGTATCATATGCAGTGTAAGTACGGATAATTTATACTGAGAAGAAACCTGGTAATTGCAATGAACAATGCAYTGCATTAGCATAACTGGTTTTAATCACTCATGTTTGAATACTCACCAATTCCCCATGTTCAGCTATTCTTAAAGAGCTCCTCAGTAAGTAGAGTGAAAGAGAATATTGCTGTTAGATTTTTTTTTAATTATATGACCATCTCTTGCTACACATCCCACCACCTAACAATGCAGCAGCAACGCAGCATTTAGGCAGAAAAATCAGTGCTTTTCATTTATTCTCTTTATTTTAGCCTCTTTAAATACTTTTCTGCAACTGAGGGGGCAGGGAAGCATTAAGTGGTGCAGTAATGTGACAAATACATAAGACAGATTCAGGAAACAGAGCACTGACTCCAGATTCTTTGGAAGCAGGCATCACTTTCCAAACTGTAGATCTAAAAGAACTGGGTTTCCATTAGTCTCCACTTTTCCATCTTTATTTCAACCTCATACACTTTARAGGAGGAGCTTTCTCCTATTATTTKGTAGCTCAACARAGCCCTAAAAGCAGTTTGWCTCTCTATGTACAATARTGGAACTMTGTACAATATTKGGCAYAACACTATTTTAAACACAATAATACTATAGAACAACGTAAAATACAAAATGCCATTTTCCCCTCAGAACTGTCACTCATTTACTGAGATCTGTTTGCACATCTTCATTAATAATCCTGCTCACCAGTGGAATTTTGTGAATACTGTA